GCTGCTTTTCTCATTTCCTTTCTTCACTTTCTTACTCTTTTGTCTGTAGTGAAAACTTTATTTTACAACATTTTAATTATATAATCTCTTTTTGGTCTAATTGCAGAATTATTTGATGGTGAGACAGTTCATAGTTCAACCTCTTTATTAAAGAATTATCAATTATTAGAAATAATTAATTTTGTTAGCAGTGATAAAGCTATCCAGACAAGTTATTATTGTGACTTTGTAGCCAGATGGGTATGATTTTGCTTTGGCTGTTCAGCATTTTGATCCATTGTGATATGGCTTGTGGTACCTGTGAATGATTTTACCTGCAAAATGAATGACAGAATATCAGAATGTAACATTACATTAAGATACATCCTTACACTGCAATTATATAATTATGTAGTAGATGCATGTTCAGTGTGAAGAATATGGTCTTTGACACTCTTTGTATATAATAAACATGCTATTGTGTAATGGAAATGATCAAATAAAGTTATTTCTGCAACAGCCCTTGCATTCAAACACCTTATTTGTATTTTTCTTGTTCATGCTTGAGCATCAGCCTCAGGATAAGCAAATTCCATTGGATTTGTGAGGGCACTTGAACTATATATTGGGTCATTGCATGAATAACAGAAAAGATTCAGACTCCCACAGCCTGTACTACATGTTACAGCTGTGACAGTGTAGAGTGGGGATCCACAAGTAAAATGTGCTGGAATGTCCAGGGGGGGGGGGGTGATACAAATAAAAAAATGATGTTTAATATGACTTAAAATTATTAAGCAATTGAGTGCACCAGCACTTTCCCCTTGACAAGTAAAATTATCTGGTATTGGACTGAGTAAGATAACAAAGTAGGGCATAGTGTTCCTTAATTAATCACTTATAATAAAGGTTTAAATGCTGATTTTTTTGAAAGTGCCAGAGTGGCAACTGGCAGGGTACTGAAAAGGTAGGTTGTGCACATGCATCCTAAATAAATACTGCTACAAAAACCTGGTATTTAACAGTTAAAACCAATCACGAATTTCATTATTTTAAAGTAATATAAAATAAAACAAGTCGGGAAAAGGATTTTGAACCCAAGATATGAGACAAAATTTAATTTACAGTATGAGAATGAGTTTGAATATAAAGAACAACAAAAAAGAGGATACAAAACTACTGTGATATTGTTGAAATTAGCAATATTATACATTTGCTGTTTATAACGGTAGTTTTTGACATAATGTATTTACGCTTTTCCATCGAAATGGCAAGTTTAATAAATTTGCCCGAAGCAGCCCAAGCTTTGGCAAGCTAGAACTTAAAAAAAGTAAAAGAAATAAAACTTTTGTGAATCTTACGTACCTGAAAACAAGAAATATAATAATCCTTTCGAGTGAATTGTTTCATCTACAAGCAGATTAAAAACTTAAAACTAACACACTTTTTTCTCGACTGCAAAAATATCAAAATGTTCAGTCGAAACTCGAAAATTATGATCAAAATTTTTGCAAAAACCAGGGGGGTGAAGGATTTTATTTCAAGCGTAGGATCGCGGTTGGTCAGTGGTAATTGCCATGAGCCGGAGGAACCAATTGGCGTCAGCAAACATGAAAATCCGCCATGTTTTTCCGGACACTCGTTTGACTGACGGATAGATAGGAGCACGTCCTCCAGTAATATTATAGCTCAGTGGGTATGTGCGACCGTATGTGCGAGCGAAAAAAAGAAAAATTGTTTTTTGAAAAATATTTATTTTGAAAAGTACAGAAATATTTAAAAACGTATAGAGATTAACTGTCTTTAAAACGTTAGTGTTTGGAAATATTTCTACCTATTAATGTTCTTTAAGCCAGAGTTTGTTTTTACTGATTAATGTTTTTTATACTTTGAGCCAGAGACAGTTGCACCAGGTCATTTGTCCGCACTCAAGGGTGAACTCGAACGACAGCTGCAAGAGCATGAGGCGAACGTCTATGATGCATTTGCTATGTAATGTGGAGTAACAGCAGCTGTTTTTCATGAGCTCTTCGCTGCTTGTCTTTTTTTGTAGACATAAGAAACTGAATTGAGAAGGGCGAAAAATTGGGTAACACGAATACAAAATCGTACTGATTTTAGAGCAAAATATGCTGCTATGCATGGATGCATACATAAATGAACAGAAACGGATTAACGTTTCCCGAGGGAACCCCTTGTCATGAGGTCGGTTTAAACCCGAACTACTACGTATAAATTTTGTTAAATTTTCAAAATCACTCTGGCTTAAAGAACATTAATAGGTAGAAATATTTTCAAACACTAACGTTTTAAAGACAGTTAATCTCTATACGTTTTTAAATATTTCTGTACTTTTCAAAATACTATATTTTTCAAAAAAACAATTTTTCTTTTTTTCGCTCGCACATCATACCCACTGAGCTATAATATTACTGGAGGAGCTGCTCCTATCTTTCCGCCAGTCATTCAAGTGAAGCCAAAAACATGGCGGATCTTACGCCATTGCCATGACTACTGGTTCTTATTTCTCATGGTAATTACCACTGACCAACCGCGATCCTACACTTTAAACAATATCTTTCACCCCCCTGGGTTTTTTCTCACAAATATGAAATATTTTGGTTTAGTTTGTCTTTGAACTGAAAATCTTGATATTTTTCATCAATTTTGTCTGTTTTACAAAGTCAGGGAAGACGGTGCATTTTTGCTGTGCCCCTGTTATGGCTCTAAAAGGAGAATATTACCGGTAAGATTCACGATTTTTTTACTTTCTCGCTTGGCAACGTTGCCATATATTTTTAACACTCGTGGATATCTCAAAACCTGACGCTATATTAAAACTGCGAGTATTACTAGTTTTAAGCAAGTTTTCCTGGACAAACTCTTTCCTGTCTTGTTTTATTAAACATTTAAACTCATTTCTTGGGTTTCATGGTGCTTCGGTTTGTGTTTTGTTTTTAAAATTGTTTATTTATTTAGGTTTTTAAGTGCTAGTTTTGCCAGGTTTTTGAAAATAGCAGCTATCTACTGTGTAGCTTTGTATTTTATACAGGACATGTAGGGTGTTAGTGCACAGCCAACCTTTCCAGCACTCTCTAAAAGTTCAGCATCAAGCAGTTTATATTATTTAACCCATTGAGGGCCAGAACGTTTAACTACTGTATAGACACATGAGCAGATAGCCAGCACTCTCCCCTTGATGAGTAAAATAACCTGGCGTTTGACAGAGTGAAATAATAAAGTAGGGTGCATCAGGACACAATGCGGCTTACTGGGTTAAACATGAGTTTTATGATTTGTAGCACTACCCACATTGTATTATTAACCCTTTAAGTGGCAATGTGCCCAGATGCACCCTACATTATATTTTACTCTGTCTAACGCTGGACAATTTTACTCGTCACGGGGAAGGTGCTGCCACTCAACATATTTAGGTTAATATCGATTTAGCTGGAATGACCCAATACATGCCATTTGCTACTGTAAAATAGTAAATATGTCGGATTTTTCTTATCTAGGCGCTGATACTGAAATGTGAAAAAGAAAGCCACCTGAGGTCTTAAATGTTCAAATAGCAAGAGTGGTGTTGTAGACATCAGACATGTAGTGGTGCACCATATGTTAAAATTAAATATTGTCCAACTTACAAAAGTAAGGGCCCTGGCCCTGGCAGAATTCCTGCCCTGAACTGGAAAGATAACTTCATTTTATCATTGCTATCAGACTGTGATAAACAGAGAATCATGTTATTGTCAGTGGTGTTTTTAAATACAATATGACTGCTTACAGTTATAATTATAACTTGTATGCATTGTATATATAGTTTGTAAAACTTTTTCTTGCTGATTTATAATTATTCTTTTAAGAAGGTATAAACAAAATAGTGAAAACCCCTGGGGGTAATGTAGGGTAAAGGAGGGAGGGTATCTATTTATCTGTGAATTAATGATAATTTATTTCAAGCACACAGGGCTGGATTGACTGGGGGTCTAACATCCCTGGGTCCAATCTTTGAAATGTGTCCCCCACTGGTTTGTCAGTTTTTACTGTTATGTGTCTACCCTCCATAAATAAAGAAGTTGTTATAAATAATAATAAAATGCCCAAATGCTGGAATTGCCAAACATGTGAATTTTTTGGAAATGTTGTGCAAAATTGAGGCCAATTCTATAAAGGTTATGCTGAAAAAATTTTAATTAACCTTTTTTGCAAACAACGGTTTGGGAGAAGAAACAATTACCCCCTCGCCAAAATTTTGCAAATACTTTTGGGGACCCAAAAGGCGAAGGGGCCCAAAGTTCTGTTCTGTATTCACCCTCCCAAAGATGTATCGGTTGGCACAGCCCTGCAAGCACAATACAATTGTGTTTTGTGTGAGCCAGAAAATAAATAAATCTCACCAAAACATGTCTTTGTGTGATAAATGATGTCTTAATAAAGAATGTTTAATAGAGAGGGGGCTCAACAATTTTTTCATCTATATTGGGGGAGGGGTGGGGGGGGTATTAGAGTGGGGGGGGGGTGAGGTTTAACAGGGAGATTACAGTAGCAAACTCAAAGCTTTATTGCAGGTTTTGATGTATGATGCAACTACCAGGATTTAAGTAAGTCTTTGTTCAAAATGTACAAATTGATTCTCATTTTTTCAAATGGCTATGTACATTGTACACTCAAGCCTGCAAATTTTATATGGGAGCATCTGATATGTGAGTATCTCAGTTGCTGCACAGTTGCTGAGATAAGAACCAACATGAATTGTTTAATTCAAGTTTGGAGCAGAGTTCAGTTGACCAGTAACTGAACAAAAATTTCAGCCAGAGCTGGAAGTGATTCTATTTGACAATTTATAGCCATATTTATAGCCATTCCTATATAATACAATTTATATATAGTACAATTTATAATCTGCCTGGCATATATTTTCCAGGTTTTAACCTAAACTGAGATCCAGTGGTGAGTGGACCCCTACAAACTATCTTACTTACTATCAACTGCACACTGGCACACAATAATCAAGAACAGAAATTATCAAGCCAACACACCATTGCCCAGAAACCTAGGTAAAAATTGTGTTACCAGGTCAAGTGCCCACAGCACCATGTCGGCTTCTCCCGGCACCCTTTCAGCACCCTCATGCCACTTTCAACTTATCGCCAAAATCAAGTTCACTGTGAATGATTCCATGCTTCCATGTAAAGTGGGGGAGAATGACGATTGGTTGAAAACACTAGCAAAGGTTATGTTGCTCTTGCAATGAATGGAAAAGTGGCCTCAGCTTTATATGACATGTTAAGTTGGTACATAAGTTTCTTGACAACCTTGATTTCTTTGACATCCTAAATCCCTTTTTTAAAGATCGTAGCACATTGTAGTCTTATGCATGTCTTCACACCTGTATAAAATAAAAGTTTATACTCAGCAAATCAGCCAAATCATAGAACAATATTCAAGCATGTTAAATTTGAACCCTTTGCGTTTGTCGGTTTGTGGGAGGAAGTGTGGTGAAATATCTCTACATTTGTACGACAAGACTTAATATTCACTATATTGTACAAAGCTTCTCATGCTAAAAAATAAATGCATATGATATTTTTTGTATTTTTACCTGGCTGTACTCCAGTCTGCATTCTATATTTTTTCCCCACCACATATTTCCGCCAGCATTTTCTGCGAAAATAAATTCCCCGCCAGATTCCAGAAGCTGAAAAAAACTTGACATTATCCTTCCGCCAACCGCCATCTATTGATGGAATAAAAATCACACTGGAAGCCTTTGTTTTAAAGATGATACGAATGAGTCGGTCAGAGTCAGACATGACAGATAATCAATCTTGGCTTGTAAATTTAGAAACAAGTTATTCACTGTATTATACATGGAAGTGCAACAATAAATATATAAAAAGTTATTGCTTTAATAAAACGTTATTGCATAATATATAAATGAAACGTAATATTATAAATAAAGGCAATATGAAACACAAGCAATATTGGATGATTATTGCAAGAGTAAAAGTATATATAAATCCCAACGCAAAAGAAAGAAAAAGCCTTGTGGTGACTGGTGAAAATTATAAATGTGATGAGCATTACTGTAAATCGGTTGACAGGGACGCCGGAACTGGGGACAGGGGGGGGGGAGGCGGCTGCCCCCTTGCCTTTTGCTGGGGGGGGCAAGAGGGCCAGAAGTGCCCTTTCAGTTGTAAAATACTACGTGATAAATTACATTTCCAACGATGCTTTTTGTAGGAAAATCATGAGATTCAGGTAATTTATAGTTTATATTTATAAAAATTTTGAAATTTTTTTGAATTTAGAAAAATATTTTGAAGAAATGGCGAAAATTTAGGATATGCGGAAAAATTTTAGACTTCACGGAATATTTTGGTATGTCCGGAATAAATTTTTGACCCCTAAAATGGTACACTGACCGAAAATTTTTTGGCGACGGGGGAGGGGTCGCCCAAAAACTTTCATTGAAAAAAATTTTCCGGTAGATTTTGAAGTTTTGCTGTATAGAGGTGCCCTCCCTGTCGGTTGACTTACCATAAAGAATAGTTTTGCCAGCGCCTAGCAACTCTTAGCACATGTTTACGGCCTCTGTCTCGGAGCGAACACTAACAGGGCTTTGGAGGGACTGGGAACGAGATCTTACGACAAGTATACCCGGGCATAGAATAAACCCGGGGGCCGGGATGGTTTTCTGTTTTTCATGCTTTGTCGGTTCAATTACAGAATACAGAAGAACTTTTATTTGCTTGTTGACAGCAATTGTTGTACACCATTTATTAATCGTGAAAATTCTTCTTGTTACGCCAGTTTCCCCGCCAAGCACAGCTTAGATGCTGTGATGCCCGCCAAATATTTCTTGGCAGGGTCATTCAGACCTTGCTGTCCGCCACAGATCTGTGGCGGAAGGGCCCCCGAATGCAGACTGTGCTGTACTGTAATAGGTGCGCCTCTTGCTTCAAATATCGTCTATGCCAACATTTTGCAAGGCGTTTGTTGTCTTTCCCGGACGTTTACGACTTGTACTTCTTTGAATACATGGTCGCAGGTCGAAAAATATGTAAAAATATCAAAAACAACGAGAATTCACTGCAAAAACTTCATAGGAATATTTTGGAAAAAAGCAGGGGGTGTGAAAACTGTAGTGGGCTCAGGAATGAGCCTGGTCAGTGGTATTTTCATGGCCAAAAGGAACCAGTTGCCATGGAAATGTCGTGAAAATCCGCCATGTTTTTGGCTTCACTTTTTTATCCGCCATTTTTTATCCGCCATAGGCCTCATAAACTAAAAACAGAGAAATGCATAAAAACGAAACAGTTTTATGTTGCTACCCTGGTTTAATCAATGTATTGTTTTAGAAAACTGTTTATTGGAAATTTGGCAATCAGCACGTCATGGTGGGGGTCAATTTCAACTCTTAAAGTTATTTAGAGGCATGAAAACTAAACTCTCTCTCGCTCTCAAAACAAGATTTATTTGCCACCAACCAAATACAAGACTACGACATGCATGATGAAAAGGACCAATATTACACTCTGCTAACTGCCGATTTACCATCATCACGATGGTAAAGAGTGAAATCCATCCAGTACCAATCTCGTACCCACAGCCATCGTTCATGGCTCTGGCACAGAATCTGGGTACGAGATCGATCTAGTACTAAATAGGTCAGAGACATCACAAGATACAAAATTAATGCCCCCACCTCTAAACCTAACCAAACCTTACTTTGGTCACAGTTTGTCGAAGGGGAGATGATTGCGAAACTCATTAGAATAACAATTCTGAGAATCATTATCTATGTTAGTCAACGTTTATTCATAAATCTGATCCTTCGCCGTCACGTGTGTATTGTATTTTTGCCCAACTAACCAATAGCAATGTTTTAGGATAGTTACGTATCTGACTCGAACAATATGGCAAATTGAAAATTGCTATTGGCGAATTTAGAAAAAATACAATGCACAACGTGACTGTGATCGAAGGACCAGACTTACGAATAAACGCTGACTAACATAAACATATGTTGTTATTCTACACGGCTAAAAACGCACAGGTTGTTGCAAGTTGATATCTACAGTAAACAATGTTGTGCGGCCAACTCTAAACAAGTTGTCAACCATGTTGTTCCAAGTTGTTACAGCTGAACAATGCTGTAACAACATGTTGACAACACTGTTCATAGTGGACCGCACAACCTTGTTCACGCCTGTCGATATCAGCTTGCAACAAGTCGTTTGATTTTCTCAATTTTTACGCGTGTAGTGAGTTTCACAGCCATCGTTCCTGCGATAGACCATGTATTGGCTAACTTTGTATTTAAAAATTTGCATTTAAATCTCAATTTTAAATAAGTGCGCTCCATTATTCCTTGCGAACACGACAAATCTCAGGGGAATGTGGCGGAGCTTATTTAAAAATTAACATTTAGTGCATTCTATATGTACTGTAGAGTTTTGGACTCTATGGTAAGTAATAAACACACGCCCGTATTTTCAAATACGTTTATTATAAGTGAACTTCGTTTACAACTATTAGAATTTTATTTCCTTTTACATTTGTAGTTTACTTGCAATCGCACTAAATTCAACTTTTATTTGTGATATATGATTTGCGTCGACTAAATGATATATTGTCTCTCCCCTTCGACGGTTCTTATCATATTGCATTTAAATATAATACACGTTTTAATTTGCTAATTACGAATTATTCTACAGAAAATTCTTATATTTTTATCTTTCTTGGTATGAAAGATATTACTTTTCTAGGATAGTATGAAGTTCCCTTGGGCAGGGAAGTATATTGCAAACTTCATTGGAAAAGAATGTATTTTAAGGACAAACACAAATGACGTTACATACAAAGAAGAATTAAAATGGAGGATGTGCATACATGCCACTTTTCAATACAGCATTTACACAAACATAGAAGACCTACAACAGTGATGATGAAATCTAATACAGACTTCACATTAAACATATAATTACTAAGGTTACTACTAAGAGGTCGCGGAAGCATTTCGAAAGTGGAGGGCATTGACTAAAAGGGGCACTTTTGTATATGACAAAAAACAAACGATTTTAAAGCCGTTCACAAGCCGAACAAAATTTTTTGAAAATATATACTCTCTTATAACGTTGAAAATTTCCTTACAGAGTCCTTACATTTTAAAACTGGCTTTTCCTTTCCAGCAAGAAAATTCAATTCAAGAAATACCTTTTTGGATCTTCAAAAGGGACCCTTTAACCCCCAACTTGGTATTTTTTCATTCGTAAAAGTGCCAGAGGGGGGGGGGACTATGTCCCATTGCTTCTCATGTTCCGCGGCCCCTGGTCATAACTAGTAATGACACAAAACGTTCACATCAAATCACATGAGAACCAACAAAGCCCTTTTTTATTTTTAATACTAGCTACTTGGTTTTATTCAGACGGCGTGCTTCATATATGAACTGCGAAAATTTAACATCTTCAAAATTTCAGCAAATCAAATTGCGACTAGAAATACATGCATGCAGCAACCCCTCACCCTTTTTTACAGGACATCTGTAACTCCACAACATTGTATCAGTATATATGAAAATTTAATCATATTTTTTTGTGCTAAATGGCAAAAATAAAAGGAATAACACTTTACTATGGATACATACGTTTCAGAGTCTATATAAACAGTTTGAATGCTTGAAAATTTAACGTGAAAGTTTTTATCGTTGGGTAAAACGTTTCAAAAACGTTCAGAAACTGTTCTAGAAATATTTTCTGGCATGCACTGGTCAGTATTTGAATTCGATTGCACTGCTTTTAGTCAATGTCTAATGAACAATTTTTCTACATGCAGTATTTCAGCTTTTATTTTAGTGACATATAGTTGGGTTTTTTCCGATATTAGTTTTTTTTATATTGCCTTGTTTTCTTTCCTTTTTTCTATCATTGGCTATCATGAGTGATGCCCTGTTTGCATTATTTAAAGCTTTTCGAGTAGGCGTACCTATATGCCAAACTTGACTATACTGTAGTCAAAATGCCGCAGTATTATTGCATTATATACACGAATTATAATTAGTGCACGCTTCATGCATGGTAATTTATTTAATTATCTTTACCAGAGAAAATTAAAGAAATGAAAGATCAAGTGAATCGGTTGTTGTTTTGGGGAGAACTTTGTGGTAAGTAACTTATGGTTTATTTTTTAAAATACAGCTGATTCCGTTAAGGTGGAAACTTTACATAAATACTTTATAATGATATTGTATAGTGAACTAATGTGAGCTTATTTAATTGTAACTTATTTAATCGTAATATTTAATTATCTAATTATACAATAGTAACTTATTTAATTACCTCTACCACAGAAAGAACAAAGGCAAGAACAATTACTTCAACATATAGAAGCATTAAAAAAACAAAAGACAGATCTTGGTAACTTAATGTTTAATCGGTATCGCCTGTTTCGGTCTGGAAACAGCAGGTAAATTTATTTAAATAAGCAAAGGATAGATCGGCTGCTGGTTATGGGGGAAGGATAACTTATTTTATACTGTATGTACTTTATTTATACTGTATGTACTTATTCTGTATGCTGTACGCACTTATTTTATATACTGTACTTACTTATTTTATATACTGTACGTACTTATTTTATACTGTACTTACTTATTTTATATACTTTACGCACTTATTTTATACTCAACGTACTTATTTTATATATTGCACGCACTTATTTTATACTCAACGTACTTATTTTATATACTGTACTTACTTATTTTATAGGGCTGTTTTGGGCCGTTTTGAAATGCAAGCTTCACTGAGCTATAATTTTTTATAGCCAGTTCTATTTTGTAATTTTTGTGGTCTTTTGTGGTGCAACCTCAGTGAAATAAATTATTATTTATTAATATTTACAGAAAAATATTTACTGAAATGTCTTCCGACAGGTAAATGTGCGTTATTTGCCGTTTATTTATAGATGGTTTTGATCTGTTCAACACTTCAACGTGGTTGTATTTTTCAAATTTTTGTACAAATAACTTAATTTGTGTTTTTAAGGGAATGTTTATAGATATCTTAGGAAACGAAATGCTTTCGAATTGAACACTTTCTATTGTGCATACTGTATTTAATTTAATAAACTTGATATGTACTGGTACTGATTATTATTTATTAGTACTGAAAGTCTTGTCATTCTTATTTTTAGTGGACCTAGTTCAGGAAATTACCCTCGCTTATCTGTGAGTATATACTTAAATTATTTCAATCCATTAACTCTGATTATTCTTGGCATACCTAAGAATGTAGTTAGTGAATACATACACCATAAAAATACCAAATAATAAACATGTTATTAACTATTTTCATCAGTTGGTATGGTGTCGACTAGCAAAAGTTGCAAGGCAGGCTCTTATGTTAGCGGAATGATCAACAGCGTGCAGTTGCTTAGCAGGGGTGGTAAGATGATGTTACATATAGGGTATAAACCTTATCTTACACTGATATAGGGGTGAACACCTTATGTTACATATAGAGGCAGGGGTATAAACCTTATCTTACACTGATAAAGGGGTGAACACCTTATGTTACATATAGAGGCAGGGGTATAATACATATATTATCAATGGTTGACATATGATTTGCCAATAAACTTATATTAATTATTAACGGTAATGCTGAGGTATATTATAAACCTTCCTTTGAATACTCAAGTTGCACATTAATTAAAGGCAGAAATGGCAGGCACAATTTTAAAAGTTAATTTGACTCAGGATACTGATGAACTTGAAAAATATGAAGTAATGCAAGTATATTGCCCATCTTCTGCTTTTTTCAGGCCACTCCAATCAACACTTAGTTACAGGGGTAGGTAGAAGAACTTTCTGTGCATGAGAATGAAGCTCCAGTGTGGGCCAAGGATGGTGTAATCTAGGTGTATTTATTAATACTAACCGTATATGGCCACATGCACGTATGAATTAGTCAGTGCTCTTTTTATGAAGGAGCATATATTTGGGGATGTTACTATACAGCTAATTATATAAAAAAAAAATCCACATTTATTTAATAGTTCAGCATAATTGGTTAATGGCTGCATGGTACTGGATTAGCCTCTATTATTATTATTAGCATGACAAAATTACGGCAATCTATATGACAGTTGATTTGCTGATCTGCTCGATACTGTGCATACTGTGCTTGGAACTATATGGATAATGATTTCTCAATAAGATCTGCGGCCAGCTGGTAGGCGTGTGCTAGCAAAAGTGATTTGTATCTTCTGCTTTTTCAGGCCACTCCAATCAACACTTAGTTACAGGGGTAGGTAGAAGAACTTTCTGTGCATGAGAATGAAGCTCCAGTGTGGGCCAAGGATGGTGTAATCTAGGTGTATTTATTAATACTAACCGTATATGGCCACATGCACGTATGAATTAGTCAGTGCTCTTTTTATGAAGGAGTATATATTTGGGGATGTTACTATACAGCTAATTACATAAAAAAATCCACATTTATTTAATAGTTCAGCATAATTGGTTAATGGCTGCATGGTACTGGATTAACCTCTATTATTATTAGCATGACAAAATTACGGGATGTTGATCGGTTAAGTAGAGTACAATTAATTCATTAATTAGTACAATTAATCAGTACAATTAATTCATTAATTGTTCTGAAATACAATTTTAATCATTATGATATTTTCAAAACTAACAAAATGGCGGAACAATTAGGTATTTAAACTCAAATAAAATTGCCCGAACGGAAACAAAAGAACTAAATGCAAATATGAAAATGTGAACAAGTAATCAAATTGACATTGAGAATTATCCAATTATCCAAAATCCTTTCGATAATTACGTCACAGCTACTGCACTCTTTTCAACTTAAAACCATCCTAAATGGAAAGGATTTCAATTTTTCTCATGGGCTTTATGCACAGGGAAGCAGAACAACCTTCTGGCTTCAGAATCCAAATTTTTTTGTGCATGTGTTGAAGATCAAAGGATGTTCTCACTGCTTCTCTGTGCATATAGCCCACGAGAAAAAAACAACTTGAAAATATAGGAAATTTCCTATAGGATCTAACTATTATAGGTCACCTATAGACTTTTGCGTGTGGCGGTTCGTCCAATTTTGGCAAAATTTCCAAACATCATGTACTTGTGCTATTAATTGTACTAGTCTTGCCATCACAGGAATACCTAATATGTACTGTAACTAATGTAAGACTTAACGAAAAGTCATTTTTCTTATTAGATACAAAGAAGAATATCAAAAAAGAATAACTAAAAAATGGTAATGGTATTTATTATTTTAATATTATTAATATTAAAAATATTAATTACATCGCATATTTTGTTTTAGTGCGAGCACAACTTGTTGACAGCTTGTGAACAGACGTGTAACAACTTGGGCCAAAAAAAAATGTGGGTTTCCGGTTTCTTCTTATAAAAACTTAGGTAGGGTAGGTCGGTTTTTAACTTTTTTTTTTAAACTTTTTTTTTAATTTTCCGAATAAGCGGACGCCATTTTGTTTAGTCAGTGCTTCCACATCCAAAGATACATTTCCCTAATATTGCCTCAAATTTCAATTTTCCACAAACTTTTTCCTCTGGGTGGAAACACTTATAAGCATGAATGCATGATCCAACAAAAAAGTTTAGGGTCGGGATTTCGACGTCCAAAAGCTAGGTAGGGTCGGGAAACCGGAAACCCACATATTTTTGTTTGGCCTTGTTTGCAGACTTGTTACAACTTGTGCGTTTTACGTGTGTGGATGAGTCACCATCACTTATCGTTAAAAACCATTCTTATGCACTAGTCAATTGAAACCCCCACCCCCTACGCGCGGGACATGGCAGAGAAATTAACATTTTGACAATGTTAAATTTTGGTAATTTCCCCACTACCGGGGGAATATCGACTGTTAAAGTGACCGCCCCTATGGCCTTGGCACTGCAAATTTTCATGACTTGGGAAATGGGAAATCGTTGAAGTATAAAATTTATATAATTCATTATGTATTCATAAATAATTCTTTTATAATAACAATTTATTCTTGAGCTAAAGAGTGAAAATATATTCTCTTTTTTTAAGAAAAACTATGAGGAAACAATGATAAAACGGACAAAAGTATATAAAATACCTTCTCTGACTTCGAAATTAATATTGCCACAAGGATAAACTCGTTCCAATTCACTTTCGTATTAGCCGCGCGTTAAATATTCTCTGGGGCCCTATGACATCATGATTTTTAAGCTAGAACCAAGTGAGTTACCCAATTAGACCTTACAGTGCCTTCATTTTCGAAAATGCTCTGCCTAATTTAAAGAACTTAATTTTTGCCGGCCCTCTAAAGTTTGGACCCTATTAAGGTGGGGGCTCTGGGCAATTTGCCCCCTCTTTCCCCACCTCCTCTTGGTGGCCCTGCCGTTTATGAGGACTGGATTAGATTTCACGTCCACGCAATTTGATCAAGTATGAGGACTGGATCAAAATGCGAGGACTTGAAATCTAGTCCAGTCCGAATTGGAGGATTTGAAATCTCATGCGAGTAAATCACTATTTAATTAATTTTGATTCATTCCATTGGACTGAATTCATTTTGCTCCAGTCCTTAAGGACAGGATCAAAATACAGTACTTCATCGGGTATCCAGTATTATCATGTGAGCAAAATAAAGCAATATGGTTGGCTAATTTATTCATGAATTATTTTGAAATGAGTTTGAGATTGTTTTATGTTGGCATTTGTAATATTCGGAGAACTCATTAACATAAGATGCGTTGACAGCGATTTTGTTTCTTCGTTGTTTTACAGTTGAGCTCGGTTTAATTGATCCCCACTTGAGTCAAATTATGCTAAAATATCACATCACCTTAAATTTGTTTCTTATATTGCAAATATCAAAATTTGACATGAATTCTTACTGTCAATGTTTTAGGTTGCGAGTTCACATTCAATAACAGTGAGCACATTGGCCTTACTGAAAGTCAAATTCCTAGGCAAGGTCAGAAAATATTTTATACAATTTTAAACACGAGCAGGAGTGTTTTATCAGACGTATCTTATATCTGACCAAGCACGGACTGCAAAACGCCTATCAGTTATGAGTTCACTGGTGAATAATTTTTAAATATCAACGTTGTCTAAGCCAAGAAAACAAAGCTAAAGTTCATGTAATTTCCTTGATTTTTTTATCACATACTGATTACTGTATAAAACCACCGACACGGCAGTGATTTCCTTTGTCTTTTCATTCATGAAATTATTAATGAGCTTTTTAATGTATATATATTACAGTAGTAAAAATGTTTAATGTATGGTCCTCTGTTTCCAGAGGCTCTATTAACAAGCGGCAGATCCCACATCCACACTGGATTAGGTCCAGAATTTGACTCTCGCATGTGATTAGCCATTTGTAAAAATATGTTAGACCGGTTTGGGAAATAACACAATCTCCTAAAAGAGATCAATCAATAAGTTACCAACAGAGAGTTTCAAATAACAAGTAACAACCCGTCAACATCGTCACACACAATGATGGTAAATAATATTTCTTTTATTTGTTTTGTTTTTGGCATTCACAGACGAGTGGGATGGACATCACAGAATGTGTGGGGAAGGTCATTGTTGACAGTGAGGTAACATATTTTATGCATCTGATAATATCTGATTGTAATCACATGTACAGAAAACTACACAGAAGTCCATCTCCGTTGTTTTTGCGTCATAATTCGTCATGATTCGTAACCTGCGAGCAGGCCCATAAAATAGAACCTGTTACTCAGGTTACATGATTCGTCACTCAGTCGTCACTCCCCTGGACGTGTGCCATTTTGAATATTTCCAGGGGGTGACCGCTTCTGTTTACGTACTTGCTGAGTGACGAATCATGATGAATAGCCCTTACTCAAAAACAATGGAGATGGACTTCTGTGTAGTATCACAGAATAAAGGCATACAGAAGAAGGTCGACTCGAGTAACCGCTGCCACGCCATGATTCATCATCAAAATGCTGACGCCATGGTCCTAGCGCGCGTTTGAGAGGCTTTCCCCCCTGGACGTCCGCCATTTTGAATATTAGAGAGGTTAAGATATCCCGGTTTCGGTGTACGGGTACGAGTAGTGTCATCTTGTTTTACTGATGTTCAATCATACTTTTTTCTGTTTTCTTGCAATAGACAATGATATAATGCGAAAAATGGGCACCTTAATTACGAGTAAAGGTACAGACATCAACGAAAATATTGCTAACCAAAATCATGCTACCCGTACACGTACACAGAAACCGGGGTATCTTAATATTCATTATACAGAGCTAGGAAGGAGCGAGACCGTGTTGTTTCCAAATGTATAAACATTTCAGACGTAACTATTGGGAAAATCTTTGATATTCTACCTGGTATGTACAGTAAATTGATGTTATGCATACCAACATCAATTACGTGCGGATATTAATAAGGTGCTACACCAGAGAATAGATGGCTAGACTAAGACACTCAGTACACTGAAACCAGCCTCGTCCCCAGGTGCTTTAATTTGCTGCGCCCGTCCACTGCCTGTGTCGCGCCACGACGTTGAGTTGGAGCCTGGGGATGAGGCTGCACTGAAACCACAGAAGCCTGTAATACTCTGTGCTGAATTGCTGAAACCACACATACAGCACGTGCATGTTTAGCTCTCTAAATTTAGAAATGATTATATGGTGGAAAAGACGGAGTACGGAGTCAAAACAGTTTATTTTTCGTAAAGATTCGATTTTAAAGAGCAATGAAGCAATGACTAATGAAGCAATTATCACTGTTCTCCCTAGAGCCACACTTGAATTAAACTGTTCCTGCTGTAGGTCGAGCAAGAGTTATCCTTTAATTGCAAACACCCTTTCGATAAAGTGCTACCTTTACATTGTAATCAGTAAATGGTTAGACTTTCACGTCTTCTCAAATAAGGTCGTTAGAATCGTAGCTACCTCGGAAGCCTGTTGGCAATTTAATATCAACATATATCTCCTTTCTTTAGGTCTCCGAACTGCAGGAAATTTTACAACAACGAAACGATGAATACCGCAAGAAATTCAAGGAATGTGAGCTTTTAGAACAGACACTGACAGAAACAAAGAAATCATTAGAAGAAACACAGGAACGTTTGAAGCAAACTAAAGTGAAGTTGGCTGAAAGGGATGCCCAAGTTTCGACGCTTGACAGCGAGTTGAGTAAGGCACAGGAGGAGATTTCTGGTGCGGCGAAGCAGTTGGAGGAATTGAAGAGAATTTTAGAAGATAGCAAGAAGGAACTGCGGGACAAGGATCAACAGATGGATGATTTGAGAGATAGTTTGAACCAGGTAATTCCTTGGCTTTCTAGATGCCAGGAATGGCAATAACTGCAGGCTATGCGATTTGCGCACTCATGATAACAAATATAACGTTGATAACAAATATAACGTTGATAACAAATATAACGTTGATAACAAATATAACGTTGATAACAAATATAACGTTGATAACAAATACAACATTTTAACCAGCAGATGGTCATTACAGATTGAGGAATTGGAATATTTTACTAGCAAGATAAATGGACTTTTCTTTCATTGCCAGTAAAACATTTTGAGTTTATTGAGTTTCTCACTCATTGGTGAGCGGATTTCCTACAGCCTATTGCCTAATTGATCCGAGGTACCCACGATTTTAAGTCCTTCCTTATTCGAGAGGACGCGAAAGTCTAACCACTTACTGATGTCAATGCAAAGGTAGCACTTTCTGGTAGTTTGGAAGTTTGGTAGTTTGTTGTCACAAAAATTACAATCAAGATTTCAACCTCGTACCCAGGCTCTTTCTACTACGCGCCTCGCTGTTCTTTGCTTGTCCTTGAGTACATTACAAATCCTTTCCTAGTAATTCTTTGCGGTTTTCCCAATATGAAACTGAAAGACTCCAGTATGTAGATCTTGCGTAGCGACGTCGCAAATGCAATCCACAAAGAATACCTATACAAAGACATCTTACCCATTGATTTTTAGTCGTTAAAATTACGTGCATTTGTTAAAATACACACACTGTGAACTTTATCGAATTGATAAAGTAGATCGGTAAAACCCACTTAGCCCCCACCCTTATGTAAAAATTTTGTTATCTCCTAAAATCTGGGAGACACGTGACCAGCCTGGACCAGGGTCTTTCCTCCAGCGAGGCGCGTAGTGGACTTAGTATAGGTAATCATGCGATGGCGAGCACAATTAGGGATGAATAATAGTACGAGTGAAATTGAAAACGCTTGAAGTTGAAAACTGGCTTTAGGGTTAAAGACTTTCACACAAAAGAAGAGAGGTGAAGCGAAATTTTGGTGGGGTTCACCACTTTATAAAAGGAGACCCTCCTAACCTTTCCCTCAGTAAATCCGCCCAAATGTCCTGATATGTACGCTATTATCACTACTTTAAGGTAATTACGCAGTAATTGTTCCCGAAATGAGAAGGTGCTGAAACTGCCCAGGCACGGAGTTTATGATATATTTAAAGTAAAATTACACAAAAAAGTCGGGTCACCGAACTCAAATATTCATCATCCATGAAACACTGGGGCCGAACTTTATGCTATTCCACTATTCCTATACTTGGAAAAAAGTGGAATCTCTGGATGCTGAGGAACATTTTTGCACACAGTCTTAAGGGAATCATTATATCATACTTTCTTATCTGTCATTGCGTACATGTAATATTAAACAGTCAATTTTGTTTTATCAAACTTTACGTTTCCTGGTTTGCCCACCTTTGGGAAACATGGCTCACTCAGTAGAAAACAACGTCTCCTGTTTTGCCATGGACAATATTCAGCAATCTAGCAAACACTTAATGAATGATGCAATTGATGAGGGAGGAATTCACCCCCTGAACATTTATATTTTAAGATGACACAGACAATCTGTTGCGGGAAGCAAGCGGTATCCCTCCACGCCATCAGAGCACATTCAAAATATGTGTTTGCCTTTTAGAATTTTTGGAGAACTATATTTCTTGACTGTTGTTATATATATATATATATATGGGTCGCGTCACAGGACATTTGTATGAAAAGTACTAAATAAAGCGTCACCAAAGATTTTCAACTCCCGGTCCTATTTCCAATGGTATTTACCGCTAACAAACCGCGATTTTAATCTTCCGCGGACGTCATTCACCCTACCTGTTACACCATGTGAAAAACTTAATTCAACTTATTATATCTTGTTATATCGTTGTTATATCATTATATTGTTATATCATTTTTTATCTTGTTATATTATTATTATACCTTGTTATATCAGTATTTTTCTATTATATCTTGTTATATCATTATTAACCTTGTTATTATATCATTACTGTATTATTATTATCACAACAGCAAAAAGGTTTAATGTAATGGTTCCAGAGGCTCTATAACGAGTAACGATGATGGTAAATAATATTTCTTTTATTTGTTTTGTTTTTGGCATTCACAGACGAGAGATAGATATGACAGGGTGTGTCGGTGGCGGGATACTGGAATTGGGCGGTCAGGTAACATATTTTATGCATCTGATAATATCCGATTGTAATCACATGTACAGAATATTACACAGAAGTCCATCTGTTGCTAAAAGAATTTGAAAACATGTTTGGAGAACTATATTTATTGTAATGTATACATGGTAAATAATATTTCTTTTATTTGTTTTATTTTTGGCATTCACAGTCAAGAGAGATGGATATGACATCTTGTGTGAGGAGGGTGATTTTGGAGTTGCCGGGTCAGGTAACTTATTTTATGCATCTGATAATATCGGATTGTAATCACATGTACAGAATACTACACAGAAGTCCATCTGCTGCTAAAAGGATTTGAAAATATGTTTGGAGAACTATATTTATTGTTATGTATATATGGTAAATAATATTTTTTTTATTCGTTTTGTTTTGGGCATTCACAGATGAATATGGAAATGACCCGTTGTGTCGGTGGTGGCATCCTGGCATTGGGCGGCGAGGTAACATATTTTATGCATCTGATAATATCTGATTGTAATCACATGTACAGAATATTACACAGAAGTCCATCTGCTGCTAAAAGGATTTGAAAATATATTTGGAGAACTATATTTATTGTAATGTATACATGGTAAATAATATTTCTTTTGTTTGTTTTGTTTTTGGCATTCACAGACGAGTGAGATGGACTTGACAGAATGTGTGGGGAGGGGGATTGTTGACAGTGAGGTCAACCAAGGTCATGTAGTTTATATCAACAGTCTAACGCCATAATCTGAAAAGGTTATTAACTCCTCTGTTTTGTACAGTAGTTTTTTCAGTTATCAGAGAGACACAGAGAGAGAGTTTCACCTGGGCAATCTCAAACCTCACTATAGTCTGGAAAAGGCAACACTATAAGTACATCATGACAATATGCATTGATAGATACAAATCCTTCGTTGGAACCATTATATTTTGTCCTGGAATTTCTCCAATTGTTTAGTTTTGCCAACGCTCCCTAGCTAAAGTTATTTAATGTTTCTTCTTTATTGTCTTTATTGTTGCGATCGATCATTCAAAACAAAATATTGGGTTATTGGGCCTCATCAGGGCATTTTTTAAGAATTCGTCAGTGGGGGGGCCATCTACAAAAAGGGACCATACTATACCGAGTGTGGAGCAATGATAGATGGTTTGTTGGTAACAAAAAGTTTGGTGTGGTATCGCATTTAATAGTGGGGGGGGAGGGAGCAGGGCCGTAGGAAGCTCTTTTCGTTTGGGGGGGGGGGCTGAAAGCGAGGGCCGAAGGCCCGAGGAAATTTTTAAATTTAGAGTCTCTGAAATGCCATTTCCTGGACTTTGGGGAAGATTTGACAGATTTCTGATTGTCAGAAAACAGCGTTTTTAGTATGTGGAAATTTAGAATTCAGTAGTACTAAATGGACGAAGGTGTATTTAATTAACGATATATTGGATAAGTTGCAAGAAAGTATGGGTAATATCTTCATTCTTTGCAGTTTGTCATGGATTAAATAATAAAGGTCTGCATGATTTTGAAAAATGAATGACCCTACGGCCCTGGAGAGGGTCTGGGGTTTTCTCCCCCAGAAAATTTTTGTATTTTTCTACCCCTATGACTGCAATTCCCTGCATTTTCTGAAACAGATTTTTGGATATACAGCATTACATTATGCTGTAGATAGACTGAACCTTCAGTTAAGTACTTGCATAGTATGTTTATGTAGATACCACAACTTGGCCGTCACTTAGGGAGCCAGCTTGATAAACTTAGAGTTCCCGACTCCCACGAAGCGCCACCATGGTTGGCACAGAGCGGAAAATTTTTGAAAATTTTGCGTCTCTAAATCATCAGAAATGGCATTTTCAAAGTCTTCTATACGTCTTTTGTTTGGCCCTTTCATTAATTCGTTCATTATGATTTGTGAGTCTATGATATCCGCGAGTCAGGATGGATTATTACGAGAAATGTTATCAAAATATCGATTACAGATATTTGATTATATGTATATATGATTTCAAATACTTCTAGTTTCGAAATCAAATTGGTTTTTTTTTGGTGGGGGCCAAAATTATTCCCCCCCCCTCCCCTTATAAAACACTTGGTTGAGGGCCTGTTGCCCCCTGCGGTCACTAACTTGTCCAACAACTCAAATCTATAGGGTCTGGGTAATGCAATCCACTGCCTGGGAAATGTTTAAAATCTAATAAGGTATTTATTAAACATAAAAGACAGGACATAAGATTTACAAAGCAAATCTCAGTTACTAGAATATCAAACCTCCCTTCTAAATTCAATGTTTTGCTTATATTTTAGAGAAAAGGGACTTTGACTGGGGGGGCCAAAATGGTTGAGTGGGGGGGCCACCATGGGGGCTGGGGGGGCTTTGGCCCCCCCAGTTATATAGTTAATATCAACTTCACCTGGAATTGTTTAAGGAGAGCTAATAAAGGGTGAAGTTTATTTTCATACAAGAGTTTTCAAATGACGTCACAAAAACGCGAGGTTGGGGTAGGGTCGTACTGGGGGTGTGGGTAGGCCAGGGCATGTGGGGACTCTTATATGAAACGTCGACCAGAATAATGGTAGAAACTGTTCACGATGTATTCAAAAAGGGGAATGTTAATTAATGCGTAAATTACCCCAATAACGTATAGTATCATGTGAAGATATAGTGGGGAATCGAAATTGTCAAATATATACTAATGAAATTGCTGTGCATTACACGGAAGAGAAGCTATAGAAACAAGACAATACGCCATGGTTCTGGTTTTCTGCTAATAAATAGCAGTAATTGTTGCACGATTAGACTGTTTATGACGGGAGTGCCAAAATTAGCAATGACTCTATTTTACCTCGCTGTAACGTTTACCTCGCTGCATCGAGCCAAATCTTTTCGAATTAAAACAACTTCTGATGTTCATGAACACGGAAAAATCGCTTAACGGCTTGTGTGAAAAAAAAACCCCGGAACGACGGCGCATTTTACAAATGACTGGAAGCTCTGGCGTCTCAACTCCGCGATAATTGAAGGTAATAAATTTCAGAGGCTCTGGGAGTCTTCAAATCGCGGTTGGTAACAAGTTTTATTGTGCATGGATATTGGTACTTCAAACTTCCCTTTTTTCAACCATATTAGTCACTGAATCCAGTTAGGAGCCACTTTTGAGAAATTTAAAGTCGAATTTGATATGTGTACAAAGCCGTATTTGGACTTGGTGCTTGTTATCGCTAAAGTTTGCCATAATAGTTTTGTAAAAGCATCATAAAACCAAGGTAAGTTTCAAAGGAGAATAACTTTCACGTGCGTGGGCGAAAAAATCATAAAAGACATTGTGAAAGTAACGAAGACTTTCATTTTTTGAGCCTAGAGCCATTGGTCGGTTCTTAGAGAGATAACCTCTTAAATTCATTCCCAATCGTGCAGAATAGACATACAGAGTTTAGATTAATAAATATCAGCATTGTCAATTTGACAATAATTTCCGGGTTTTCCCCGAGTAGCTAATTTTAATACGAAAGCGTACCATGTTTGATAATACCTCGCTGCATCGATCGAAATCTTTTTGAATTAAACCCACTTGTGATGTTCATGAACACAGAAAAATCGCTTAACTACGATGATTTAAAGGCTTGTGTAAAAAAACGGAACAAGAGCGCATTTTACAAGTGACTGGAAGCTCTGACGTCTCAACTCTGCTATAATTGAAGCTAAACAAAATAACCAAATTGTATCAAATTTCAGAGGCTGTCGAGTCTTCAAATCGCGGTCAGTAACAAGTTTTATTGTGGATATGGGTACTTCAAACTTCCATTTTTTTAACCATATTAGTCACTGAATCCAGTTAGGTGCCACTTTTGAGAAATTTAAAGTCGAATTTGATATACACCCGGTGCTTGTTATCGCTAAAGTTTGCCATAATCTTTCTGTAAAAGTATCATAAAACGAGGCAAGTTTCAAAGTAGAATAATTTTCAAGTTTGTGGGTGAAAAAATCATAAAATTTGGTTGAATACTTTTAAAATTATATGTATTTGAATTCGGCTAATTTTTATTCCTGATTTAGGCAGAGGATTTTCTGCCCGACGGCGCGGGCCGAAAAGTCGCTGAAATTTTAAAAATTAATAAAATTTCAAAATTCCAAATAGTGTTTGTTTGTTCTTGGGGTAAATACATTTCATTGTGAAAGTAACGAAGAATTTCATTTTATGAGCCGAGAGTCATTGGTCGGTTCTTAGAGAGACAGCCTCTTAAGATTCTCACGCGAATAGGCAATGTTTTTGTGAGCGACTGTTCATCGTTAGTTGCAAACGACGGTAATATAAACAAGGTCAAGGTTTTATCGAAAGCGATTGACTGTTAGATTTCCTTTTATACTATTTTATAACTAAATAATGTTATTTCCTACAAATTTAGCTTTATTGAGCTTTATCGAAAGTATAAAAAAAAACATGGAAACGGCGAATTACTATAGATGGAAAATAATTATTAAACTATGATTGAAATTATCGACGTAGAATACTATTTCGTTGTATTAAATTTCTGAATAGTATAATGAGAATTTTGTTTGATATTTTAATATATTTCATGTTATTTACAAAATGTACTGTAGTTTTGAAGTTTTGCACACAATATAGTATATATTGATAGCGTAGCCAGGCTTCACGATATAAATATTAAAAACGACTGCATGATAAATAATCATTCATTTTATGATTAACAGTATTTTATTGCGACCACAACTGCTCCAGAATCACAACAAATAACAGAATATAAGGAAAATTAAAACCTGCAAAGCTTTATCTACCTTGATCTATTTTTAAAGGCGCTCAATTATGTAAATTTTCCGCGAACACTCAAACATTTTTCTTTGCCTTTCCTCGAGCATGAGTGATGAAATGCTCGTCGGAAAAACTCGGTATTTGTCGTATTTTACGAATTTGCCATGTGACCGGTACGCTCACCAATGAAAGTTGCATGCCATATATGGCATGCAACAAAAAATTAGTTAGCCCAGCAATTTGGCCCGCGGCCCGCAATTGTTTTAACCCGCAGCCCGCAAAAACTGACCCGTAGCCCGCAAAAACTGACCCGCGGCCCGCGGCCCGCGGCCCGCAAAATAGCTAGACCCGATTGAGAAGATGTAGGGATTGAGAAGATGTAGGGATTGAGAAGATGTAGGGATTGAGAAGATGTAGGGATTGAGAAGATGTAGGGATTGAGAAGATGTAGGGAGTGAGAAGATGTAGGGATTGAGAAGATGTAGGGATTGAGAAGATGTAGGGATTGAGAAGATGTAGGGATTGAGAAGATGTAGGGATTGAGAAGATGTAGGGATTGAGAAGATGTAGGGATTGAGAAGATGTAGGGATTGAGAAGATGTAGGGATTGGGAAGATGTAGGGATTGAGAAGATGTAGGGATTGAGAAGATGTAGGGATTGAGAAGATGTAGGGATTG